GGAACATATGCCATCTGGAGCAATAGGACTTGTGCACATCAATGTTCATTTGATCAAGTTACTTCTCTGATTGCATTACTCTTTCAATAGATTTATAGTATCTATGATCCATTTATAACCAATTCTTTGTTTCAACAGTCGTCACAAATGTCCGCATCAACCGAAAGCAATAGTTCCCTGGGGACCATGCGTAATGTCCGAATATGCAGCACAATATCATCCTCATTGCATCGAAAAAAATTCGCCAGTTGTGCCTCCTTCGAATATTTTTGCAAGCGCCGACCCGATGTCTGACAAAACCACACAAAGGTAATGATTTCATTAACCACTGGTCTTGACATTCCATCGTTTAGATCAGATTTTGTGGTTTATCCCTATGAACATCCATATAAACATGTACCGGCACCGTACAAAGCCCCGGAGGGTCGAATAGAGAACAGTACATTGTATCGAAATGAGTTCACGGAGAAGAACTGCGCGCCTGCCCAACCGATAAAACCACCACCACGCAAATCTTGCGGAGCCAAATTTGAAGGCCAGCCGACTTATCGAAGTAGGTATTTTCCACAATGTACTTTGAAAAAGTTAAACTGGATTGATTTCAATATACTGAAAAAGATCTACACACTTGATTTTACTAGATCATAATTGCATCCAAATTTAATCAGAATCAGATTTATTTATTCTCCGTACTCTGGATGCTCAATGGTTTTATCGATTGCGAATTTATTTGAACTTTGTCTGATTGACTTGTCAAATACACCTAAGTCCAAAGCCTCTTACTCGATAAAGAAGTACTGCATTTCAATGAAAATATACAACCTTCTGAATTATGTTCAATGGATTTTTTTTATACCAAAATCAAACTAAAAACAAAAATCAAGTGAATATGCTGATTTTGAAAAACTAGTGCACTTATTAATAGCTGCCCTAGTCTATGATACTGCCCAAAATTAAGCGGTGTTAGTTGAACTGACAAGCCATGATATAATCTTAGGCACCGGTGGGGATTACTTGAATTTTACAAGAGCTGAAAAAGCATTCTTTTTGTTTTCTGAAAAATGTCCCCTAGGATATAACATATGTAGCCATTTGGATCAACAATTTATAGCTTTTTACTAAAATGTTAGCACTATTGTTCAATCAGTAAATCCTCTTTCTGAAATAATAAAATCACTCAGATGCAAATGCTGCTGCGAATAGCGCATTCGGCAGATCTGAGAGTATGTGAACTTATTTGGCCGCATGATTAGGAGCAGATTGGAAGCTACTATCGATCAGACGGTGGAATAAGATACCAGTACCTTCGACACATCGATTGCTTAAAAGTATTACACAGAGAAGTGAAAAAATAGCTCAAACAAAAAAGAAAACGTATTATTTGAACAGTGGAGTCAGTATAGCAACATTGCACGATTTATGTCCTGGACGATTTCGCTGCATCTCAATTGGTGCTTACTGCAGACAAATACAGTGTTTATATAGGGTTCGAGAGTGATTTTTACTAACGATAACACTAGAATGCTCAAGATCGCTGAGGCGATTGCAATCAACCGATTGAAACCAATTCTATGACAACAAAAAGACATGTTCATCAGACTAGTTTTGCTTTGGTAAAGCCGTCCCCAGTTACAAGTGTTTATTTTGTAGTTCATTCCTAAACCCTATATAAAAATAGTATTTTACTGCAGTAGGCACCAGTTGAGATGCAGCAAAATCGTCCAGGATATGAATCGAGTAATGTTGCTATAATGGCTTCTCTTTTCAAATTTATCACAGGAAAAGCTTGTTTTAGTTTCCTAAAACGTAACATGTTGTCTACTCATAGTAAACGCAATTCATTTTGTTTGATAATGAACCAGGTATTATGAAACAAACTGACAGGGTTAGCTAGAGGTTTTGCATGTAATACAACATTTTTTAGCCCTGTGTAGACCGATAAGTATTATTTCAATTTTCTCGAAATAACTTTAGTTGTGTTGTGGAACAAGGCTGCATGCTAAGCTATACTCAATTATGACAGCTGATTACAGACCATGGGATCTTCCCCCAATTGTGAGCTATAAACCAACCGAGAATCGTCCAACGCCGGCCAAATTTGACGGAGAACCGATTTATCGGCGTGAGTACGTCCCCAAATGCATTGCTCGAGTTGAGACCTTTAAACCTGATAATGAGTTGAAGCTCTCAAACGCGCCGTTCATTGGTGACACCAATTATCGGACAGAATTTGTACCACGAGAAATTGAGCCCAGAGAGGAGAAGAAGCCAACCCTACTGGTCCGCCCAAAAGTTCCATTCGAAACATTGACTACGAATCGCAAAGATTTTACGGCAAAAGAATGGTGTGAGTACTTCGAGCTATGTGTGAACCCATGCCTATTACATCTTATTGATAAGTAGTTTAATTCTGCTTTGATTCTGTAAACTGGGAAGTGACTCATTGAATTGTGAGAGCATTGGTATTGCTAGGACCGTAATATAGTCTCAATTTAATGATATATAGACCTAAGCATGATGCAAATCACATATAGAAAACAAAAGAATAGAGAAAATACTTTGGAAGTTACTGTACAGCTGTCCCTTTCTTTTTGAAAAAGGCCAGCAGTGTTATGCAAGATATCTGCTGCAGCGGCATTTCTTTCGCATATCATCAGTTACTTCATGCGAATTACAATTGGACATTCACGGGGTATGGTGACAAATAGATTTAAAGGTGAGATTTATACTTGTTCACGAGACAGTGTAACTAGTTTACCAACACTTTTTTCTCTTAATTGGAATACAGATGAGTGGAAAATTGTTCGCAAATGGGTGAGAATGACGTGTTAATGTGTGCGCGTGTGTGTGTTTCAGTAGGTATAAGGCGGAGAAGGAAAGTTAGAACACGTGGACATGCGAAGACAGGACGTTAATAGGCCGATTAAATAATACTGACGATCATCAAGAACAAAATTTGGAATTTTCTATCCAAATGGAGGTGTGAAGTGAGGGAGGTGTAATTGGTGTGTGTGGGTGGATGGTTTGAGTGAATGGGGCAGGGAGAGGAGAGCGAAAGTCTTAATGATGAGGTGAGAGGTACAGGATAGGGTGGGGCGGGGGCGGATTAACTCCACGGTAAAGCCAATGCGATCACCATCTGCTTCTGAGCGCACAGAACGGGGTTTGTTCTTCGTATGGTTACGGATTCCGCGAAGTTTAGCTGGTAGAGTCGTTTCGGACGGTAGACAATTTGGAATGCGTCCGTTGGATTCACTCGGTGGCCAGTCTCCTTTATGTGTTTCGTGATAGAGCTTCGAGCGCTTCCAGTTGCGTTTGCCAGCAGCCATTTTGGAATGTGCTCCGAGATTCCTATTCCCAAGTGCCGCGACGTACGATCAACGTATCTGCATCCACAGATACAAGAGAATTCAT